GCCATGGCAGTGAAGCTCTGTCCAGATCCCCGATGCCGCGATTCCCCTTCGGGCCGCTCTGTTTCACTTGTTTTCTGCTTTTTTTTTTGGTTTTTTTTGTCAGCTTGTCGGACGGCTGCCTTTGTTTTTGCTACTGCCATCGCGTTTGATTATACCCTGCTTATTAACGGGCGTGTCCGACTCAAGCAGGCGACTTGCCCTTGTCAATCGAATCAAACAGCAGGAATCAAAACAATTATTGAATCATTCATGTTCGAAAGGCAGAAAGGTAATTGCGCATGTTCTTGGCCAGGCATGCATGTCAGTAACGCCAGAGTCCATGAAACATTTACGGTAAGTTTAACACTTCTAGAGGTAGTTTTTAATAATCTTAATCACTCAATATGCCAATTGTCCTTTTGGGAAACAATTCTTACACAATTTCAATGAATTATCTATAGCCTTTATATTGTTTTATATTATACAATTCTTAACCATTTATCATTTACAAATTTCTTGGAAAATTTTTTTGTAAATATTTTTAATTTTGGTGAGGCTAAAATTTTGTAAGCTAGTGTTAAATAATTTGTATCACTAAACATGTCAGTAACATCTTTGTGAAATATTTCTTGGACATTTTCAAAGGTCTATAACCTTTATATCGATTTTAAATATATAATCATTTAGCATACATTAAATATTATTTCTGAAATATTTTTTATAAATTATGACATTTATTTGGAGGCACAGATTTTTTTTAAATAATTAAATTTAATTTAATTGCAATTTTATAATATATTAAATATGCTTTTTGAGAAGCTTCAAAATATTTTTGTTTTATTATTGCTTAAAATTATGTACCAGGTAATGTTCTAGGTAACTTGGCAAATATTTTTTATGAATTATGATATTTATTTAGGAACACTTTTTTTTTTAATAAATAAGAACTTACTGGAATTTTAATAATATATTGCATATGATTTTTGGGTTGCTTTAAAGAATGTAAATTTTATTATTTGTATATATTAATATAATATATAATACTCACCACCTTTTTAGTTAACTTTTAATAACTGATATCATAAAACTTAAAATAAAATATTACAAAAAATAAATTAGTAACCATTAAAATATTTCGATATTATTTCTTAAGTAAAAAAAAAATATATAGAATGGTGATTCGGTTACTCTTTAATTTAATCTAGGCAGATTTAACCATAATTTGTATTTATTTGTTTTATTACCTTTAATTCGTTTTGTGCTTGCTTAGGTTTTTCAAGACCTTTAAGACAAACCACCTGAAGTGCTTACTAATTTCCCTGGCTTATAACCAGAGCATTTTCGTCTCGACTCCTTGGCTTCCAATCGCTTTATGTTGTTCTTTCATTTTTATATTTGCATTAAAAGGTAATCATCGGGAGCAGCGTTGCAGCGTTGATGGCAAGCCTTGCAATTTTCGCACCGTTGTCGTATTTTGTATGACTGTCATTAAGTCGTCAGCGGGTTCAGTAACGAGGGGGACAATGCCGCCGGGGGGATATGCTGATGGCGATGGTGATGGTGATGGGGATCGGAAGAGGACAGTGGACTGAGGACTATGGACTGTGGACTGTGGACTGCGGACTGCAGACAGTGGAGTGGCAGGACGCAATCAGTTGCTCACTCAGTTGGCGACGCATCAGTTTAAATGACTCGTCATGCCCGCTGGCAATGGAGTGGAGGAGCAGGAGCAGGATGAGGAGGAGCCTGTCCTGGTGGCGAGGTGACGAGGTGGCGAGGTGGCAGCGATGCCCCAAGGACGCAGAAAGATACTGCTCGCGTTGCACTCGAATTGGTCTGGAGAGCTCGCACGTTAATGACACTAGAATCAGTTTTCATTAACGATATAACGTGCGACTGGCCACTCGGCACTCGGTTGGTTGGTTGGTTGGTGGGTGGAAAAGCGAGGAAAATTCAGGGGCGAGTGGGAAAAACTGGGAGGGGTGGAAAAACTGAGGGAACCGCATGCGTGCATTGCTCGCATATTTCTCCTGGCCGCGGCTGCTGCGGCGACTGCGGCATTGGCGCTGGCAATTAATAAAACACACACCTTCTGTGCCACCGAAACAGCACTGCCCCTTCCCCCCCCCACCTCCTTGATGCACAGTGGTCTAAAGCGCTTATTTATGCAACGGCTGGCCTCGACAACCCATCGACATTGCCATCGGCATCTGAATCCGAATCCGAATCCGAATCCACATCTGAATCTGAATCCGCGTCTCGCCATGCATCTGCAACTCTCACTCCGACTGGAAATTGAATTTAAAAAGCTCAAACGCTGCAAAATATTTCACACACAGCAGCCGTGTGTGTGTGTGTGTTGTTGCTGAGATTTTTCGTATAAATCACATTTGCCAGCGAAAAAATATAAATAAAATATATGGCACACAGTGTGTGCTTGTGCGTTTGTGTGCCAGTGCCTGCATAAATCTTTCAGTTTGGATTTTCACTTTGGCGGCATAAATTGACACTGGCTGACGACATCACAGCCACATTTGAAAACCGCGCTTAAAAGCATGCTCGCTTGATCGCCTGTGCACCCCCCTCCCCCCATCGAAAAACTCTTGCATTGCAAATTGCGTTTTTTGTCAGCTTAAATAAAGCAACGCGCGCTGACAGTAAAAACTCATTTACGCGAAATTAAATTAAAAGTTAATTAACGCTGTCAATGTGCAAAGCACTCCAGTCCACGATGGGGGAAAATATTCAGGTAACTACTACCTGCAACTGCAACTCTGCGGGCCAAGTTGAAAAATCACCGCAAGTAAAGTTAAGCATATGTCCGCTTAAATTGATGCGAACTGGTTTTAAACGCCAGCCTGACAATTCGCGAGCTGTTTTTTCCTGCTTTTTCTGTTCAGTTTTTTTTGCAGTTGCAAGTTGTTGGCCGGACTCTGGAATTGGTTCGTCGGCTGCTGGGAGGGATTTTGCGGAGGATGCGGGGCTTTAGTGGCAGTTCGCTTGATTGCTTGGCTTGCCGGCAGTTATGCGCTGCGCACACACTGCGTATGCTTAATGTGACACGACCGACCATCCGTCCATCCGTCCGTCTGGCAAAATCAACAAGCCGATCCCAGCCTGCTGATAATTAATTTTTAAGTAAAACTGAAATTTACACCGGCCAATCAGCGATAAACCGACAAAGAAAAGGCACCATTTAATTGGGCGCCATATATGATAATGATGATGATGAAGATGATGATTGTGCTGCCGCCTTATTTGTCATTCAGTATTCATGGTATGAGCATTTCCATTTGGCCGGCACTTTCCAGCTAAGCGAACACTTACCGCAGCGGTCTAATTGGCGGCACTCGGGCAAACTGACCACGAAATGCATTGCCCGCCTGATTAATTGGCCAAGACATCAATTGTGACCGCTCTGCCGTGAGCCCTCGGTGCTCATCAAATGGGCGGTGGCCAAACATTGGTTCGGAGCCAAGCCGAGGGTAATGCGGCATTTGCCAATTGGCATAAGCCAAATTTACATACCTGCAAAGGTGGTATTCTGGCTGCATTAGGTTTCAATATCAGGCAAAACCCTGGCAGAATATCTAATAATTTTATGAAGGCATGTTGAAATTAATTTACCAGCAGCTCAAGAAAATGTTTATACTTCTCAAAATTGCGTAACTTATATTAATTGCCTGAAAATTCAAATTTCCTTTGGTTGAGGTTGCAAGTGGCATTGATGCAAGTGACAGGAACTAGAAAAGTGAAATGAGCTGAATTCGTGCCATTTTCAAGTTAATTTTGGTCTTAGTTTAAGAACATATTTAAAAAAAAAGTTTTTTTTGTTCTGTATTTCAGAACATTTTGCTCTCAATTTGTTAACATTTTGTGATTGATTTTATCTAAATTTGTGATCAAAAGAAGAACCTTTTAAACTTATTTTAAAAGGAAAAAAAATAGTTCAAATAAAATAGCCTTCCCAATATAAAGCAAAATTAAGAATATTTAGTTTTAAATAGTTTCATATTTTTATTAAATTGGAATATATATTTATGATTAGATTGGTATTGAATATTTGATTTTTTACAGGCTTATAATTACTATAACATTATGGTATATATACATGCTCATAACTATTTAAATCTAAAGTTAAATAATAAAATTAGGATGGACTATATTTCCTCCATATCATACTCAATTACATTTTTTCATTTGTGTTTCTAATATTTTGAACATCAAAATTTAATTTAATAATATTTTAATTTCAGCTTGTTACTAGATTTTTATAAGTTGGTTAAAATAGGACATTTTTTTTGTTTTTGTCAGAATATAATTTTCTATAAATATGATAAACGCTTAAAGTATATATGAGTTTATTAATGGATTTTACAAGGAAACTAATATTTTTGTTTCCAGAATATGTAGGTGTAGAAATATGACCTAATGCTTAAAGTAAATGTAAGTCGTATGAAAGATTTTTCAACTTAATGCAGATACTTTTATATTTAGTTAAGGAACTTACATGATTTATGTTTAACATACATTATTTTTATTTTATTATTATTTTAATTTGAAATACAACATTTAAAATTCCATGTAAAATTACTATTCATTTTTTTCAACAGTCTGGCGCCACTTTTATTTTAGAAAATCTCATTAAATTGACAGCGCCTCTCCAAGTGCCCGAATGTTTCGACTTGATCTCTCCCCAGCCCGGCACAATTTCTCCCATTTCGTGGCAACTGAAGTGCCTCAACTGGCCTGTAACTTCATGACAGTTCGCATTGGGGTCGAGCGGCGTGGCAATATAAATAAATATGCTTGTTGTCTGGCAATTCGAACTGCACTCCTACGGCCAATTTGGTTGTGAAAAATTAAAGATAACATAAATGCGGCTCGCCGGGCACGCCATTCCATTGCTTTCCATTCCACAGCGATTCCCCACCGATTCCCCACCGATTCCCCACCGATTCCATACCAAAAACGAAGCGATTCCGGACGGAGCTAGGCCCGAAAAGCGGAAAAGCGGCGGAATGCCGTGCCAGGACATCAATGTCGGGGCTCTGGCGTGCTATTTGAATTGAACAAGTGTCAGCGTCGAGGGAAACAGCTGAAACAGCTCTATGGTGCTCCTCCGGTGACCCCTCCTCATCGCTACCATATACATTTATATGGTGTATGTATGTATATATTCTCAGACGTTGTTGTACAGCATTTGCATGTCCTGCCAGTCCGCTCTCAAAACTCAAAATATTAACACTTTAACGCCAAGTTTTTTATCCGGCTGCCGGAAACAGACAACACACAAACGGCGCACACAAACACAAACACCGGGGGGGCTGGGAACACAAATACTAGTGCACTGCTCTCGGCGTTGGCGGCACAAAACGCCATGTTGGATTATTCAACTCGACGCCATTTCGCGTCACAATGCGCGCTATGCGCCGCCATCATTGCAACCGACAGCGAACGGCACACGGTAATAGCAGCAACTACAACAAAGGCAGCGGGAAATGCAACAACAACTGCAGCAGGACGAAGGACGAAGGACGAAGGACTAGGGCGGCCCACACGGCGGATGAAGTTGCAATTCAAAGTCATAAACACGTGGAGCGTGGGCGCAAAGTCTCAGCTAAGCCGGTGGGTAAGTGGGGAGAAAGTAGGAGAGAAAGTAGAGGGAAAAGGCGGGGGGCAAAAGCCTGGGAAAATCCGGGGGGAAAGCGGGAAAATCCGCGAAGCCCTGGAAGGGGAGGAAAAGCGGGGCTACGGCAGCGGTAGCGCCACTTCCTGCCCCTAGATTCCTAGCCCACTTGCAGCTCCCCCTTTTTTTTTATTTCCAGACCATTTTGTTGTCTATGCAACACGACAGACAGAGGGTATCAAAGGCATATTAAATCCACTCCATTTGCCCGCAAAACTGCAATTGAGCATGCTGGCATTCACTTTTGATGGCCGCCCGTTGGAGAAAATACTTCAAATGGATCAAGTATTTTATGCTTTATCCTATCATATAAAAAAGATCTTATTTGCCCAGCACAGCAGCCAATTTCAGACATATATGTAAACATTTTAATTTTCTGCCTATTTTTATTTAAAGAAATGCGAACTTCACTTTTCCAGACTTTACATTAAACACTTAAGTGAACTTTGCATTCTGGTGAATGAAATTTTTGATTAGATTTGTTAGAATGATTTTGAGTTTAATTTCCCTGACAGCAACTTCTATCAGTTCCTATGCTAATTCTAACACAATAAAAATAAAAATAAAAATCCTAACGAATTTTAGAAAATAAACCATTAATAACAAAGCCATTTGCTTGACTACAATGTTTAGATTTTTGAGTTTTTCCTTGTCAAAGTGGCATAACTTTATTTATCTGCGATAAATGTATCTTGACTGACACCTTTATTGCTAGTCTTCTTTTTGTACACAATTCTAACAACCTAAAAAAATAAAAAATAAATCTAAGCAAATTTCAAAAAGCATAAATTAAAATGAAGCCTTTTAGATTTGCAATTTTTTCCATAACAAAATGGTATAAATTTTCGATAGACCTATCATGACTGATAACTCCAATGCTAGTCATAATATTGTACACAACTCTAACCCCATAAAAAATACAAATGAAAATCATATCAAATCAATACAAATACAAAAAAAACAGTCCTTAAAATAAAGCCATTTGCTAGTCGTATAATATTTTGATTTTTAATTTTTCCTTGTGAAAATGGCATAATTTTATTCAATTGCCATAGACATATCATGACTGACAGATCCTATTCAAATTATAGTTTTGTACACAATTCTGATAGCAATTAAATAAATTGAAAAAAAGAAAACCTTTTTAAAACCATTTTGCAAGTCATATAATATTTAGACTTTTACTATTGTCCAGGTCAAATGGCATAATTGAATCCATTTACGATAGACATATCATGACTGACAGTTGAGATCATAAAAAAGAGACCTTTGACATTATGATTGCGATAAGCATATTGCTGGTGTTTTGTCATTTTCCACGCATTAGATGGTGCTGAGACCTTGTCCCGATATCGGGTAACCCAAAGGTCGAGCCTTCCGTTGGAGCCACGAATGGCGAGTGTTATTTTTCGGTTGGCACTGTTCGTTTTTCATTTGCATGCGAAATTCAAACATCAGCATAAAAATGCAATTTTTATTGCGCAACATTTCTCAATGCCCGCTGCAAATATTTTCGCGGGCTTTATTATATTTTTTGCATCGCCTTTTGTATTGTTTTGTTTTTTTTTCTGCCCAGTTCTGTTCTGGCTGTTTCAGCTTTTGTTTTGGCCTTCCTGCTCGACGGTCCTGGCCATTGTTGTTTGTTTTGGTTCGGCTTGTTGCTGCTGCCGCTGCTGCTTCTGCTGCTCATATTTATTTGTGCTTTTTATTTGGACCCCGAGGGGGTGTAAAACCGAGCCCCCAGCCCCTGGAACCATCCAGATCCACGGCCACATCCACCCGCGGCTTTATTATGAGCTGCACTTTATGAAAATGCAGTTGCCAGCCCGCTGTCGCTGTCGCTGGCGTTTTGCCACTGCAGCCGCCGCGCTTCGAGTACATTGCAAATATTTTATTATTGCACAATTTCGCCAACTTATCCCGCCGGCATATGAATGCATAGGCGAGAGGTGTACCATGCCATGCCATGCCATGGAACAGGAATCTCCTGGTGGCCGCAAGGCTGCAGGAAGGATGCAAGTGAGCTAAAATAATATTTCGCTGCTGTTTCGTTCGTTGGCTCTGTTTGTTTTTGTTTGTCGGTTCGTTTAGTTGAAATTACGTTCTGTATGCCACTGAATTTCATAGCAGTCGAATAGAGCACTGCAAAACAACAACTTGAGCCGAAAAACTTGCTTTCGGTTGTTATTATTCTTGCGTTTACTCCCGGCAAATTTGCCGTGTGCCGCCTTTTTCACTCCACGAACTCGGCGTTCTTGTTGCTGTTGTTATGGACACCATACCACCGCCCATCTCCCCTTTTTCCTCCACTTAACTGCCACTGTATTCCGTTACACCACCCACAGGGAAAATACACACACCCACCCACCCATGGAAACCACCCCTTGAACCACCCAGCGACCAGCTCGCCGTGTTTTTGGTTTTGCTTTTTTCGTGCTGTTTTTCCAACATTTTAACTTCCGCTCAATTTACCTTTAGGCCAAGTAATTTAAAAGCTGACGTGTTTGTACAACTACAATTTCGACTCATGTTGCCGTTGTTGTAGTTGTTTCTGTTGTTGCCTGTTGGCATTGCCTGTGTATAGCACTTCCTGGTGTGGATTTTAGCCAGGTTCAGTCAGGCTCTTGTTCTGGTTCTTGGTTCTTAGTTTTCGGCTCTTGGATTTCAATCTACTGCAACCTTGTTTTCCTTGCGTCGGTCAGAAAATATTAAAAATGAAATAATATTTGGCCAGCGAAGAAATTTGCTAACGCTTTTGCAACATATTTTGTTTATTTGCCCTCCGTTTGACTTGCGCTCGAGTCAAGTTTTTTGATGTGGCCCCGATGGACTAAAAGTCAAAACATCCGCAAAAGCTGTTAAAACTGTTTGCCCCGGCTAATAGTCGCTGCTGAAAGCCATGCAGTTTGGCAAGCAAATATTAATTAAAGTCGATAGTAAATGGCCGAAAAGCGCTTAGCCCACTGTTTGCTGTTATTTTTTTTGCCATGCCCACCCATTTGTCCTGTTTTGGCACCCCTCATCCGACCCGTTTAACATGTGAGCACGCAATTTCCTTGATTGGCAACGCCGAGTCAAGTTGGCGGCAGAGGTGCGGCAGAAGCCGAGGCTGAAGTTGAATGATTGAAGGCGCACTGCTAAGCTGTCGGCGGCGCTCTGCCAAGGATCTGCATAACGTATCAAAAGGCGTAGCATACTTTTTGGGGCCCCAGTGCATTAAAGCTGACGAGCGAGTGTGTGCACTGAGCAAAAAATGTTCTTAATTTGCTGAAACCAATTTAATTTATAGCTCCATGAATAATTTTAGTAAGCTACATTATTTTCATTTTAACCTGTTTTTAAATTCATTCAAAAGCTTCCATTGGTTTTATTAGACAGGCAAATTCATTCGCTTGTTGGTCGTCAAATAGTTTTTATTAGGTTTATAATTGTATCAGATTTTGTTGTTTGTTATGGGATTTATATTGCAAATGGGTATTAAAATTATGCTATGGAAGACCTCAATATTGGTGATCAATTTGCGCTTTAATGGAATAAAATAAGATAAATAAATACAATTATAGAATATAAGATATTACTATGTAGGTAAATACAAACATCGCCTGTTAAAGATAAATAACATTTATAATATTTATTGATAGGTAAGTACAAACCTGTATTTAAAAACATTCAAAAACGTTCATGGGTTTTATTATACAGGCAAATTCATTCTCTTGTTAGTCGTCAAATAGCTTTTATTAGGTTTATAGCTTTATCAGATTTTATTGTTTTTGCCATTGAGGACCTCAATATTGGGGATCAATTTGCGCTTTAATAGGATAGATTTTTATTTATGAGAAATTATAGAATATAAGAAATTAATATGATTTCATTTGAGACCATATTCACAATAATTAATCATAGGTAAATACAAACATCGCCTGTTAAAGATTTATAATACTTATTAATAGGTAGGTACAAACCTGTATTTAAAAATATTCAAAAACGTTTATGGGTTTTATTAGACAGGCAAATTCATTCGCTTGTTAGTCGTCAATAATAATCCAAATGGGTTACAAGATTATGCTATTGACAACCTCAATGTTGGGAATTAATTTGCGCTTTAATGGAATATATATTTATAAGAAAGTATAGAGTAATGCGCTCAATTTAAATCACATTTAGAATAATTATTCATAGGTAAGTACAAACATCGCCTGTTAAAGAAAGGTTACATTTATAATAGTTATTGATAGGTAAATGCAAACATTTCCTTATAATAATGTTTCAATCGGTAACATTATTTTAGTTTCAATACTGAAAACTCCTTACGGTAGGTACTTCAAGTGGTGCAGTTCAAACAGGAAGTACTCCTTAAATAATAAATATGATCCCTGTTTTTGGAGCCCTGCTTTTTTCCCAGTGTGTGTGAGTGAGTGAGGCTGAGCGTGAGCAGTTAACGCCATTGTTTGTGTTAAGCTCGGACGAATCTGGCAGCCAGGTCAGCCCCGCCCCCGCCTCAGTCATCTCAGCCACCTCATTTACCTCATCCACCTGCATCCCCCACATAGCCCACCCCCTCCCGCATAGCCCGCCTCCGGTTCCGACGGCTTTCCTCCTCCAGTTTTCCCCCAGTCCCAATCCCAATCCCAATCCGGCTGCCGGCTGCCTGGCAAGCCAACGAGTCTGTTAGCCAGGCCGCAGGCTGGAGCTGAAGCCGAAACTGGGAATGGAGCTAAAGCTGGAGTCCGTGGACCACAGACAGCTCCTGCTCCGCAGCTCCTGCTGCTGCATTTAGTGAAGTATTGTTTCTGCTAGATTAATCCTGTTTTAATTAAATATACACGCTGCCAGCATAAAACCAACAAGAGCCCCATCGCCGGCGAGCAAAAAAAAAAATGAAATGGGAATGAAGAACTCGGGCGGCGGCGGCAAAAACAGCAGAGCAGAGATCCACATCCTTGCAGTCCGCCTCCTTCGACTCCTGATGTGCCATGCAAATGTGAGTGTGGATGCGGGATGCGGGATGTGGGCTGCGGGATGCAGGATTCAGGACTCAGGATTCGGGCTGCCGGATGCAGGATGCTGTTGATGCTGCCGCTCCACTCGGAATGACAAAGTGACTTGACTGACTGGGCTGGGCGAACTGTTTGAGAACAGGACGAACGAGAGTGCTGCTGCTTCTGCTGCTGCATTCGACCTCGCTTTATTTATTTATATTTCCATCTACCCCCTCAGAAGAAACCCCCCCCCCCCCCCCCCCCCCCCATTCTGCGATGTTTTTCTCCTTGTGCTTTTAAGAAAAATACTTTTTCTCACGCAGCTCTCGCAGTTCGCTTGTAATTTCTGTAGTAAATTAAAAATGCTGCGGTATTTTTTGCTGG